TCCCTTTCATTTATCCTTTTTATTTAGAGTTTTACATAAAACTCACAATTGGTTAACCAAATAGATTCATTATTAAATTCTTTCAATCTTTACACTATATTATCAAACATTGATTCGTTTGACCAAGATTTTCATTGAAAACTAAATATTTTTAAAGAATTTTTTTCATTTTATTTTTAAATTAATTCAATACATACTTATACTAAGTAAACATGATTAATTGTATTTCAAAAAGGTAAATATGATTAACTAATTATAAATCATAAAATATTTAAATTCTTAAATGATGTGATGTCATTATTTTAGACATAGATACTTAATATAACAGTGAGATTCAACAGTTTTAATATATCAAAATAACATGTTTCTATTTGTATAAGTTTTGTTATAACTTTGTTATCATACATTTTGAAAGTTAATTATACAAGAAAAAATATTTATCATTATTTTATAATAATTTATTTTAAATTTATTAAATTTAATTTAAGTTATATTTTGCATCTTCGACATTAATAATTTTAGAACTTATCATTTATTTTTCTCTTCCTGGAATTTTTTCTTTATGTTGTATAAACACCTAAAACTAGTTAGTTTACAATTATAGTAATAATGAAGAATACAACAATAAGTTTTATTATTATTCAGTAATGTTTTTCTTATTTATATCTCTTTTATTTTTTTCTTATTATAAATAAAATTGCCAATTTTCTTATTATATTAAATAGAGTATTAACTCTAGTCTCGTATTAATATAATTTTCTGATTTTTGAAATTTTATATTATAATAAATTTTTTCATTTATTAACATTTTTAAAAATAACTTACCATATAATTTTCTGTTTTAAATATAAAAAAAAAAACTTAAATCATTAAAGTGATAAGTCAACTATACTATCAACATTATCTCTGAAAAATGATTGGAATTTTTGAAAATTGTACATTTGACTTTTTTGCATTCACTGAAAATATTTTAAGAATACATATATAGTGAGTGAGTGTAAGAAATTTTATTGGTTTAGGTTAATTAGTTATCTGTCATGTATGATTTATTTATCCATTATTGATAGAAATAATTTTAACATTGTTTCTATGCTTATTTCTGTAATATAATATGTCTTTATATTTATATTCTAATTTTTTTATAATGGAATCTGTGATATTTAATTGTTTCTATAAACAAATTCTATTAATCATATATATTTAAGGTGGTTAATTATTTGTTTGGTAATATATATCAGATTAGGTAATTATATGATTAGTTTTCTTTAAAAAACTATAATTAAATAAATAGAAAAAAAATTCAAATACCAACAACCAATCAAATTACGAGAATTAATTCTATATTGCACTTATAGATGACCCCTAAAAGCATCTCCAAAAAGACACTCTATTTTAGAGTTAGCAAAACTCTATTTTTGAAGTTTCAAAGTGTTATTTTCCAAAAGCAAAGCTTCAAACCAAACTTTAAAATTATTTGTATTTTACTCTATGGTCTTTATATGATTCATAATTAATATAAATCCATTCAATTTTTATAAATAACTTTAAAATATATAAAAATATTAATTAATAAAATTGTACACCAAAATATAAAATTATAGAGTTTGTAAGACTCTATATTTGAAGTTTAAAATTATACACTAATTCAAATTCATAACACTTTCATAAATAACTAATACATATATAAAAATATTACAGCAATATTAAATGAATGTTGCACTAAATATAAAATTTTAAATAGAAATATAATTTTAAATATTAAACTACGAACAAAACTTCAAATTTGAAGTTTTGGGTAGTGAAATATTTAAAATTATATTTAAAATGATATACAGTTTTAATGCAGCGAAATATATGTGTGAGAATCGCTAATAATTCTCTAAATATTCCTTTTGTAATTTTTATAATATCTATGAGAGAATCACGATTTGAATGACAAGTTATTAGTATCCCAAACTGGTTCTTTTACAAATTTAAACACAAGAATAGACTGGTTCCAGGGTAAAAGAGATCAAACTTTTTTTTAACAACCCAACACCATGCTTTATTAGACTGATTCAAGAGGATTAGGCTGAGCTAACCCTGAAGGAACCAAAGTGTTTACATGGGAAAATTCAGAAGCTTTCGTACAAGCTCCTTTAGCAAGGAGATCAGCTCGAGAAATAAGCTCACAATGTATAAAAGAACGTGAAAACAAAGTAAACAAAGAACGTAGGTGGGAGAATTCATCATATTCCGAAGCCAAAGATGGGCACAACTCTTCTTCCTCGATCAGCTTGACCATTTGAGGGCAATCTGACTCGAAATGCATATTGCTGTATCCCATGCGGAGTGAAGAACACATTGCCCATAGCAAAGTAGTGAACTCCGCATGTAGTGGAGATATAACTTGTCTTCTCCCTAAGGACCATGAGTAAGTACTCCCGTCTTCCTACACCATTATAAATCCTCCACCAAAAGTAGATTGGTTGGTTGGCCAAGATGCATCCACTTGACATCTCGGTTTGTGCAACCTACTCGTCTCCTCTCGATCAACCTCCTGTGACCGCCCCCTCCCCTTTGCTGTCTCTGAAACTTTTTGTGCAACTAACCACTCATCGCGTTCTTGAGTAGCCTTCTGCAGGGAGTTCGTTGGCGGTCTGTCTCTCCACTCCATTAAATATTTTGGTGTTTCTTTCTTTCCAGATAAACCACATAATACGTGGGAATTTCTCTAGCCTTTGTGTCGATACCCCCTTCGTCGATGCTGTCGTCAAGAGGAAATCAAAATTTTCATAAATTGATGAGCTCGGGAACTGTCCCAGAATTTTGGGAAGATCCGAGAGGACCCATGTGTGCAGCGTGGGGGGGGCACTTAAAAAGGAGGTTGTTTTATGGACCCATCCTCCCCTCCACATCTAGGACACGATCTGTCATTCACGCAATGTCGTTCAGATAGTATGCTGCAGACAGGAAGACATCCTGTTAAACACTGCCACAAAACGTGTTTGATCTTTCTAGGAGCTTTTTTTTTTGAATTATACAGAGGTATCCTGACCTCACATAAGTGATCCAGACTAGTCACGTGTTACCACGTGTTGGTCCTCTGTTCCTGGTGATGCCAAAATGTTAGTTTCTCAGTGGCCGGGATTCGAACCCAGATGGCGGTACTCAGAGCTGTAAGCCCTTTACCACTTGAGCTAGAAGCTCTGGTTCTTTCTAGGAGCTTTCACATTCCACACCTTAGATAGTAAGGGATTAATACTTGGTTCTAAGACTTGTTCTTCTACGCTTTTTTCCTGGATCTGAAACGCAAGGTCATAGCCAGATTTGACAGTATATAAACCAGATTTTGTGTGTAGCCAGCAGAAGCCATCAGGTTAGATACGGTGACTGGGTTTTAACGCTTTGGATTAGCTGCACTTCCCCGGGTTCAAAGATATTACGAATGATCTCCATCTTTCATGCTCCTGTGTTGTGATCAATGAGGTGATTAACATACAAGTTAGGGTCCCTCCAAGTGCCATTATCTTTGTCTAATCTAGGTTCCTGGGTCGGAATCCAATGATCAAACCACAGTCGAGTATTAAACCCCATCCAACCGTGTGCCTTAGTCCCTTTTTCAGAAGATCCCTGGCCGCAAGCATACTTTTCCATCCATACGAAGGGGAATTTGAGCTACTGATCTCTAGGGGATTTGTATATCTGTAGTACATACCCTTGAGAACTCGAGGCAAGAGTGAAGTCAGATTATGTAGCAAACGCCAGAGCTGCTTCGCAAGCAATGCGAGATTAAAATTCTTTAAATCTCTGAGTCCTAGCCCTCCTTTCTCTGCCGGTTTACATAGCTTGTCCCAAGCCATCCAGTGAAAGCGCTTGTTGTTTTGTTTAGTACTCCACCAGAACTTTGTGATCGCGCTCTTGAGTTTATTCAAGATGTCTTGGGGCAGGAGAAAGCATGACATGACATAAGTAGGCAGGACTTGTGCTACAGATTTTATAAGAATTTCTCCCCCCCCCCTTTGGATAAGAACGTGGCTGTCCAAGAGTTAATCTTATTGTTTAGCCGGTCTCGTATAAAAGCAAACACTTGTCTTTTTGAGCTGCATATTTTTTTCTGGAAGACCGAGGTAGGTTCCCATTCGACCTTCTCTTTGAATACCCACAGTGGTTTTGATCGCTTGTTTTACTTCTACCGGGACTTTGCTTCCGAATAATATAGATGACTTGGAAGTATTAAGCTGCTGTACGGAAGCTATGCCGTAGTTATTTATGATCTTCATCAGCTCAGCACATTGCTAGACATCCATTTTACAGAAAAATAAGCTGTCATCAGCAAAAAGGAGATGAAAAACTGCAGGACTAGCCTGAGCAATCTTAAGGCCATTATTCTACCTTCGAATTATGCTGCTTTAATCTGAGAAATAAGAGCCTCTGTCAAAATGATAAAGAGAAATGGAGATAAAGGATCTCCCTGACGAAGTCCTCTTGAAGGTTTTATGCTGCCCTTAGCTTCGCCATTTAGTAAAACCTAATACGAAATCAACAAAATACACCATTTGATTCAAGCAACCCATTTCACTGCAAACCCCATCTTTAGCATCATAGCTTCTAAAAATTTCCATTCTACACGATCATAAGAACACAAGAATTTTATAAATTGTTTAGTAAGCCATTCTATTATGAGCTAATGCCATGATCAAGTAATTAAATATAATCAATAAATATATAAAAACGTACCTGATATAATTTGGGTATGTTTGTAATAGTTCTGAACTCTGATAACTAATCTTGATGTTGTGGTTTAATTCGGATATGGTGAAGCAAATAACACAAAAAAAAGCTAATCTGAAATAAATTTAATGTAAGCATTAGATTTGACCCACCCTTTTCCCCATTTCAGATGAGAGAAACAACCATGTGATATTTAGACGGATTTGGTGCTACTAGACTTTTATTTAAATTTTTATTTGGGCTTATGGTAAGCGTAGTATATATATGGACTTTTATGTTACGAGTTATTATTGGTGATTTATTGTTCCTAGAGAGAGGGAGATGAGTATCATATTGTGGTATGATGACGCGTCGCAGATGACACGCTGTCCTCCAGATAGTTGGGGATGGGTGTCACAATATGCTGCTACGTGCAAGACGGTGTTACCATAAAGATATTTTCTGTTTATGACGTCAGTCTCTATAGAAGCAGCATCAATTTGGTGCATTCGTTGGATCCATCCAGTTAGCACTTTGAGCTCCTCATATCTGGCCTTCAACAGTGCCGTATGCAGATCCGTCTCACGGTGAGACAACATATCTGCCCTTCAACATTAAGGATCATATATATGTTCGTCAATATCTAAACAGGTATGACACCACTGCATCTTGTAGTGGAGAAATGTGAGTCGATCTACTCACGGAGTTCCTAATAGCTTGTCCCCAGGCCATTCTGAATGTAAACGCATTCGGTGAGAGTCTCAGGATGCCCCTGGGACAAGAATTAGAAACTCCCTGAGGAGATCGACGTCACCTTTCTCCACTACAAGAGGCAGTGGTGTCACACTTGTTCCGAGACTGATGAACATATATACGATCCTTAATGTTAAAATTTTCTACCGAAAGATGTAACTGTTACTATTATTATATATATCTACCTCCTCTGCCGCGAGGGCGAACAATTCTCCATTGCAAGGTGCAAGGGACTAAACCCACGTGTATTTAGCTTAGTTGCAAGGGTGGCGCCAGTATCATCCTTTCCACGGCCATGTCTACCTTCCCATAAATCAACGCTTCGTGAAGTGGTTTATGGACATATGGTTCAGTGACGCTTTGTAGGATAAACGGGTGCTTTTCAAGTAGAGAATAGAGTGCCTTCACAGATTCAGCAACCCAAAACAATTTTCTATCCATATGTATACGAATTTACAGAAAGAAAAAGATTTGTTTTTTGGATTCAATTTGAAATCGAAATTCTCTCTGCTTGTAAGATAATATACGTTAGTTGTTGTGGTATTTACATGCATTATGGGCACTATAGACTTCCCTACTATACATTAATTAACAGATTAAATGTGATCAAACGAACTTTTTTTTCCAATAGTAGGTAACATATCATTAACTGCACATTGTCTCACCGCGTATTGCCAGTATTACATAAAATTTTCCAATATATATCTAGTTGAACAAAAAAAATATCTAGTCAACAATGTGCAATTCATTATCTTAAGTGATGTAAAAACGAAATATGACTAAAGATCATAATTTCACTAAATTGTTTTCGTACTATTTATAGTAAATTTAGGAAGCTTTGCTAAAAATTAGGTGTCATATTTTATTTGTAAGAATAGTTTATTGTTTGCAAGAAAATAAAAATGTGTATGTTGTGGTTATAAACGTTTCCATACTATAGACATCTCAACTTCTTACATTAATGACTTGCTTCTTCCAGTACGTTCTTCCCATGCATTAGAAGATGAATAACCATACCGCTTTCACTTCGATTCAATTTTAAAGGGATAGTCAGATCTTTTTTGTTTCAGTCTAGACAAATCGTACAAAGTATAAGCATGACCATTCTCTCAAATGACCATAAAATATGTTTTTCACCAAAAGAACACAGAATGAAAAATGATCAAACTATATTTTATTAAAGAGGAAAAAGATTTGTTTACTCTTATATACCTATATATTTAAATAAATAATAATAAAATAAATAAATAAAAGAGAGAATTGTGTTGGGATTGTGAAACCCTATGTCCAACTATATATTTTTATATTAGTATGATATTGTCCACTTTAAGCCTTACATGCTGGCCTACATAGATTTACTTTTGGTTTCTATTCAAAAAAGACCTCGTACTATTAGAATTGAATTTCTCTTTATATATTAGACACGTCTTGTCTAAATCTCTAATGTGGGACTTTGTTTATTATCTCACATTTTCCCTCTTAAACTAAGGACCACATTCATTGCATGTGTTTTATTCTTCATAGAAATCATCTTGGCACCATCTTGTACCAGGATTCACAAGGTTTCCTTTGATAATCCCACACACAGGTTCCATGATCTTCTGACTATTTCTGCCACAGACTTACTCTTCCTACTCGAAGGATCCCTTTCCCTCTTGAAAGGTATTTTGGTCGTCTTGCATAACTTCGTCGAACCGCTCTGATACCAATTGTTGGGACTGTGAAACCCTCACTACAAGAAAACCTGGATTTCGTTACTGAATTTTGTGACCACAGTTACGGTTGCTAAATTTACCGACCGAATACTGACCAATTAACGACCGAAAGCTGACCAAAAACAAATCAGTCACTAAGTAGTCGCTATTTTGCGATACAGTCCTCTAATAGTCGTTAAATAGCGACTAATTTAGCCACCGATTAACGACTCTAGAATAACGTCGTTAATCGGTCGCTAATATACGAAATTTAGCGACAGTTTAACAACTAACTGGTTTAGTCGCTAAATTGTCACAAATCAGTCGCAAAATAAAGTTCATAACTCGTGTAAATCGTTACTCAGTTAGGTGTACCGGTTTATTGCGACTGATTGCGTTAGTCGCAAATTCGGTTGGAAAACAGTCGCTAAATCGGTCGCTAAATTTGTTATAAGTAGACCAAAACCGTCGCCATTTCTTATCACCTCATCACCTCGTATAGCTTAAACTTAAATTCGAAAGAGAAAAAAAAAATCGTGAAGACCAATGGCAGGCAATTACAACAACTATACTAATGTTCGTGCTTGGATGTACAAGAGGATTGATGAAGAAACGGGAAACTTCTCGAGAGAATTTGTCATGGGGGTAGAGGAANTGGCAGGCAATTACAACAACTATACTAATGTTCGTGCTTGGATGTACAAGAGGATTGATGAAGAAACGGGAAACTTCTCGAGAGAATTTGTCATGGGGGTAGAGGAATTCATGACGTTTGCAAATAATCAGGAGTTAACGCAGAGCAATGGTGGTAAGTTCTTTTGTCCTTGCAGTATTTGCAAAAATGAAAAATTTCTTGCGGGGCAAAAAATCTTGAAACATATATATAGTAGAGGATTTATGCTAGATTATTATGTTTGGTACAACCATGGGGAAGAATTCGACATGGGATTAGGAACGAGTTATGTTGATCCGACGCATTTAAGTGGTAGTGAAGAAGTTGGCAATTTAGGAGAAGATAGATATGTGGAAATGGTGAATGATGCATTTTGTGATCATGTGAATTTTGATAACTATCAACAGGATGATAGTTATCAAAATGTCGTAGATCCGGTTTCCAACCATTCAAAAAAATTCTACGACTTGTTAGAAGGAGCGAAAAATCCTTTGTATGATGGTTGTCACGAAGGTCACTCGCAGTTATCCTTAGCTGCCCGAGTTCTGCAAAACAAGACAGATTACAATATGAGTGAAAAGTGTGTAGATTCGGTGTGCCAAATGTTAACAGACTATTTACCAGCTGGAAACCAATCAACCACTTCACATTACGAGACAGAAAAGTTGATGCGCAATTTGGGCCTCCCATACTATACAATTGATGTTTGTGTTAACAATTGTATGATCTTCTGGAAGGAGGATGAAAGATGGG